TATGACCGTTATGGTTGGATGTCTAGTATGACCGTTATGGTTGGATGTCTAGTATGACCGTTATGGTTGGATGTGTAGTATGACTGTTATGGTTGGATGTCTAGTATGACTGTTATGGTTGGATGTGTATTATGACTGTAATGATTGGATGTCTAGTATGATTGTTATGGTTGGATGTCTAGTATGACTGTTATGGTTGGATGTCTAGTATGACTGTTATGGTTGGATGTCTAGTATGACTGTAATGGTTGGATGTCTAGTATGATTGGTATGGTTGGATGTCTAGTATGACTGTTATGGTTGGATGTCTAGTATGACTGTTACGGTTGGATGTCTAGTATGATTGTTATGGTTGAATGTGTAGTATGATTGTTATGGTTGGATGTGTAGTATGACCGTTATGGTTGGATGTCTAGTATGACTGTTATGGTTGGATGTGTAGTATGACTGTCATGGTTGGATGTCTAGTATGACCATTATGGTTGGATGTGTAGTATGACCATTATGGTGGATGTCTAGTATGACTGTTATGGTTGGATGTCTAGTATGACTGTTATGGTTGGATGTCTAGTATGATTGTTATGGTTGGATGTCTAGTATGACCATTATGGTTGGATGTCTAGTATGACCGTTATGGTTGGATGTCTAGTATGACCGTTATGGTTGGGATGTGTAGTATGACTGTTATGGTTGGATGTGTAGTATGACTGTTATGGTTGGATGTGTAGTATGACCGTTATGGTTGGATGTCTAGTATGATTGTTATGGTTGGATGTGTAGTATGACCGTTATGGTTGGATGTCTAGTATGACTGTTATGGTTGGATGTGTAGTATGACTGTTATGGTTGGATGTCTAGTATGACTGTTATGGTTGGATGTCTAGTATGACTGTTACGGTTGGATATCTAGTATGATTGTTATGGTTGGATGTCTAGTATGACCGTTATGGTTGGATGTGTAGTATGATTGTTATGGTTGGATGTCTAGTATGACCGTTATGGTTGGATGTCTAGTATGACCGTTATGGTTGGATGTGTAGTATGACTGTTATGGTTGGATGTCTAGTATGACTGTTATGGTTGGATGT